TAGAAAAATCAAGAAAGAAGGAAAGGTGATCGAAATCAAAATAAAAATACCTTGGGAACCGACTTCATCGCATCCTTAAGAAGTTTCTCACTGGAAGGCTTTTGAGTTTTCTTGGAAGAAGGGATCACTAGTTTTCCCTTCCCTTTATCTGGCTTTTTTGTGGTCGAAACCTAAGATGGGAAGACACATCTTTATAGTCAAGTTGGTTTCCATGCTGATACTCGAAATAACAAATAACAGAATACTGAGGCAAGTTTACTTACAGTTTTGGTGCTGCCCGAGTCCACTTTTTGTTTTTTCAAGGTTCCAATACTCTGAAATTTAAGGATCGAGATAGGTTTTCATCGAAGAAATATAAAGTCACTATTTGAAGCCATTCGATGAGGATTCAAAAATAACTCTCGATAGGAATTCAAATCTCTCTGGGTAGTATGTGCATCAAGATTGAATTCCTAGGGGGGCATTTGTTAGGATCACTCGAAGACCAGGTAACTCGAAAAGCACATTCAGGAGTTTCAGGAAGTATCAAAAGCTCAAGCTGTCCGTATTCAAAATACAGTCGAAAAAATGAGTCGAATCAAACCGAGAAGTGCTCGAAAGATGGAAATTACTGAAGGTTTCCAAGTAGTGAGTAGTTATCTCAGAACGGTTAACGGAAAATGGATCGAAGTGAAAAGAAAAAGAGTGGAACGAGCGGTTACGAGAGGTTACATTCTAAAACCACCTATTGGGCATAGTGGATGGCGGTTACCTTTCCATGACGCACATGCACTAAAATTAACCACCTTCATTTGACTCTATAAACACGAAGAAATATGTACTTTCAAGGGGTCGGAAATTTCATACTCACATTTCTGTAAGCACTCTCTGCCTGCGCATATGGCTTTCGTGCACGCATCTGCTGGGTATCAATTTCTTGACCACTTTTCTTTGCTTTTTAGGAGTAGAATTAGCATAGTTCTCTTAGTTATTTCTTTTAATCACGTAGTTATATTACTTTGATATTGTAACTCTGGAACATGATGCAAGTTGAACCATGATTTGTATTGCAAGTATTTTAATTATTCATTCTGTTCATCTTTACATTTATATGTCTGGAAATTATTGCTTGTTAATTATTGAAGAATCTTTAGAAACAAGTAATCACTGAATCTTCCTACTACTCCTCCTCTCGTTTTATAAGACTAAAACTCAGAAACATCACATATCTAAATTGAAACGTTTTTCGTGCTAGTCTAAATAAAAAGAGCCCATAAAACTTAATTCCACCGTAAACAAGATTATAATGTATGCATAAATTTAATTTCAATCATATTATTTACATTAGAATATGTGTTATGAGACGAATGAATTTTATATAGTTGCCAAAAAAGACTAAAGAAATTGAAATATTACGTGGGCTTGAATGAAAACTCTCCTTGTATTATATGCGCATGCACTTGACGAATTTTTCTCCTTATGTTCAGTACTTAGTTCAGAGAAATTTAATAAAAATTAGCAGTGAAACTAGAAAGCCTCACGTACACGTTTGTCATGAGTTTAATGATTACAGTTTTACCATGTGAAATTGGGTAACTTGAATTTCTATTTTACTCTTGCGAAACTAGAAAGCCTCATGTTATTTACACGTTTTTATCGAAAGTATAAACAAACTCTTGAGAGTTAGAACGTGTCTTGCGTGCGATCCTCGTTCTCTGAATTTAGAGAGTCAAACATTAAAGCGCTTACTTAATCCCTATCTCAATTTAGACATGTAGATTTGTATACGCAAATACAGGGAATTAGAATCTGATTCAAACATGAGTGTATCCTTATCCATCTCTATGTCTAAAATAAGTTCAAGAAATCATCAAAGGATCATCTTGCCATTCAATTAATATGATCATGCTTAAAACATGGATGAAGGGTCAAATAATAATAATAACAATAATAATAATATAAAGATAGTTTTTAATATGGGTTTAGTTCAATGAACTCATGTACAGGTGTAATGTCTTCTGTTTTTTTTTATATTTATTTTTATGAAGAGGAGAGGGGTTGTAAATTTTTAAAATGTAAACTCGAATGATGCTTGGGCTAACATTTAGTGAATTATAATCATGTCTCCCTTATATATGGCTTTAAAGTATATATTAAAAATTAATAGTTTTATTTGATAATATATCACTGAATAATAGTATTAAAAAATTATACTATCAATATATTTAATTAATTTTTTTTTAATTTATCCACTTCTCAAGTGTTAATATATATATATATATATATATATATATAATAGTTATAATAACATCGGTGTAACTTTTATTAAGTATTATACCGCTCAATGACTTTATATTAAATATAAATTTTGTAAATTTAACCGTTGGATTGAAAAGTTCATTTCATTTTATATATTTATACTAAATTTTATTTAAATTAAAGAAGGTAATCAAAGTGTTTATATTTTAGTATATTTTGAAATAAATATATTACATCAATTTTGTTTTATAAAAATAAAATATCAAATCATTTTAGATTAATATAAAATTTTATAAATATAATTTAAAAGTAAAGAATTCTTAATCTAATAATTAAATTTACAAAATTCACATTTAATATAAAGAGTCAATTATTTTATTATTTTTAAGTAACATGCACTGAATTTATTTTCTCTATTCCAAAATCATTGATGTTTAATATTAATACAAATATTTAATAGAAATAAAATATTGATTATTTAGTCTTAAATGCATTTATTTAATACATGATATAAATGTGATTTTTCGAAATAAATTGTAAATGATTTAATCAATTATTATAAATGAGAGATTAAAAGTAAACGGTAAGTGCAGTGTTTCTTGTACTGATCGATGAAAAAATTAATGAGAGTATTGTATATGTGGAAAAAAATTCAATAAAACTTAAAATTCGCATAACATCATTAATTTTATAATAATTATAAATAAATTAAAAAAAAAAAAAAAACTAAGAACATCATTTTTTTTTGTTATTTTATTTATTTATTTATTTTTGTATTTAGAATGAAGTGGAGTAAAGTTTACCAGAGAATCACTTCACCTATTTAATGGTATATAAGAATTCATCAGCCTTCTTGTCTTGAGTTTCATTGCCACTGTCCCCAACACCATTTTTTCTTTTCCTCTGAGGCCATTATTACTTCTTCTTCTTCTTCCTATTCTTTCTTCCATTCTCTCTTCGTTAATTTGTCCGTATACATTTTTTGGGCTCTTGGAAGCAATGGTGGGTGGTGGCAATTCCAAATCCGACATCTCCTTCGCTGGCACATTCGCCAGCAGTGCTTTCGCTGCATGTTTCGCCGAGGTATAATATATGTCTCTGCTGTTACCGTAATATCTCTCTCTTCAATAATTCTTATCTGGGTATTCTTCATCTCAAACTTTTCTTATCTGGGTATTCTCTCTTTGCCGCGATCATGTGTTAAAGTCTCGTCTTTTTTGGGTGTTTGAGTTAGTGTCTAACGGATCCTACCTACGCTGTTCACTGCAATGGACTTTGTTTAATACTTTCTTTTAAAAGTTCCAGGTGCTTTTGCTTATGTTGTGACAAATCAATCATGCATGTGATGAGCAACTGGGTGATTTTTTTTTTTTTTGTTGTTGTTTAACTTGTCCATCATTGGTTTTGATGTCCTTTGCTTGATCAGAAATTCAATTGAATGTGGGGTGGTGTAGCTGTGTTTGTTGATCTTTAATCCAATATGATTTTCTTGTAGGTAAATAAGAGCTTAGTCAATTGCATGTTGCTATTGCTACTCTTGTATATTAGACAATGGTCACACATGAACGGTTTTTTAAGCTGATAAATATCTGATGATGAAAGGTCTTCACTTTTCATACTTTGCTGTTTGCCTTTCAAGGTTCAACATGGATAATGCTATTTCTAAGGTTTTAAAAAATGGTCTGTGGCCGTGGTTTAGTCCACAACATCAAGGTGTTTGGACTCTCCACATCCGCAATTCACATCGACAGCATTTTGTCTTCAATTCTCACAATGCTAAGAACTTTGACTGCGACTGCAATTTAAAACCTTGATCATTCCATGGTTGATGATTTGTAGATCTTGGCATGGTTTTAAATTGCAGTTTCAATGCAATTCTTAACATTGCGGGGAATTGCGAGAAAATGTGGCTGATGCATCATGCAGCCACAATTGTGGTTGCAATGTAGTTGCGGTGAGTAAAAAAGTCTGTATGTTCTTACGGACCGTAATTAAAACCATGGATCTTGGAATGAAATGGATGGGACAAATTGATTGACTTGAAAATCGTAATACTTGGTTTGGACCGGAAAATTCTCAAAGCATTCTTTGTGGCATTTCCAGGCTAACCCAGTAATCCATTCTTTCAAATAATATTTTGAGCTTTGGTAGCAGTGAAAAAATTACAATAGAATCAAATAATATTCCATAAATTATCCTATATGAAATAGATATAGATTTATTCCGAAATTTTCCTACCTTTGAGTTTTGGACTTTTGGTCCTGAGTTGCTCTATGTGAAGATTGGTATTGCTTGTTATATATTTACTATACTGTTTTTCATGTTGAGTTCACTTGTCAGATGTCATATGGCTTTTACAAGTACTTAGTAAGTTAGTTCTTGTTTACAACTATATATTTGAAATTATAGCTTGAATTTGATGTAGGTGTGTACTATTCCTTTGGACACTGCCAAAGTTAGGCTTCAGCTTCAAAAACAGGTTATAGTTGGTGATGCAGTGACCTTACCTAAATATAGGGGTTTGATGGGAACGGTTGCAACCATTGCCAGAGAAGAAGGTCTTGCAGCACTCTGGAAGGGGATTGTGCCAGGGCTACATCGTCAATGTTTGAATGGTGGTTTGAGAATTGCGTTATATGAGCCTGTGAGTTTGGAACTTTCTCTCAAAGAATGTTCCTTTATTTCAGTTCATTTATACTATTTGCTTATGTAATCTGATGGCCTGAGCGTCACGGGGTTTATAACAGGTTAAGAATTTCTATGTTGGAGCTGACCATGTTGGAGATGTTCCATTGTACAAGAAAATTCTTGCTGGATTTACAACTGGTAAAGCCCAATTCTGGACATTGTAGGATGGTTTTTTCCCTATGCTAATATGTGAAATTGTTTCCTAATATTTGGAGTGTCAACTTCTCGCTAGCAGGAGCATATGTTAATTATTTATGTCTAAAATTCTTGATACACTATGAAAAACATTTGAGCCCCTCGAATTTGTGTTATCAACAGGTGCTATAGCAATTTCAGTGGCCAATCCAACTGATCTTGTGAAAGTCAGACTTCAAGCAGAAGGAAAATTACCTACCGGTGTGCCTAGGCGCTACTCTGGATCATTAAATGCTTATTCAACAATTGTGAGACAGGTATTTGCATATAACATGATTTTTGTCTATGGGAAGATGTATTCTGTCCTTTTCAGGTTATAATTCATTTTGTTCAACCTGCACCCTATACACAGGAAGGAGTTGGAGCGCTTTGGACTGGAATTGGTCCCAACATAGCAAGAAATGGTATCATTAACGCTGCTGAACTAGCCAGCTATGATCAAGTGAAACAGGTAATGTTAAAGACACGATACTGCATTTTGGAAGAGAAGTTTGCAATATTTCCTCTTTTATTTATATAACCCTTTTTTTTGTTGCAGACTATTTTGAAAATTCCAGGATTCACCGACAATGTTGTCACTCATCTTCTTGCTGGTCTAGGGGCAGGGTTTTTTGCAGTCTGTGTTGGCTCCCCTGTCGATGTGGTAACTTCCTGGTGTTTACTTGTGAATATCCATAGTTGATTTGGCATTTATTGCTGTATCAACATTTTATACATAGTGTGTTCATATTCTACAATTTTCTTCAAGTGTTTAGACTTTTTTTTTCAACTATGATAAACTGATAACCCCAGCGATAATTAGAGAGTGGTTGAATTAGTAAATACATTTAATGTTTAATAATAAGAAGAATTTTTTTGTTGACATTCAGTGAGCTTAATTATTCAGTGCTCTTACCATTCCCCTAATTTATTGTGCTATCTTCCTTTTGTTGTATATTCAGGTTAAGTCGAGAATGATGGGAGATTCTAGTTACAAAAGCACCCTTGATTGTTTCGTCAAGACATTAAAAAATGATGTATGGTTGTTTTCCACTATTATTATTTTTCTCTCTTCCCGATTTTTCTTTAATTATAAATCTTAACTTTATGTGGATATAGTTGCTGTGGTTTTATAATAAAATGCATCACAAAATTTTAACATATCTAGTTGTAACTTGTAAGTGGTTGTTGAATGGTGTTATATCAAGTATAATCCACAAGCATAACGGACTGAACAAAGTCCCTTATAAATTTATAGTTTTGATGACATCATTATACTTCTCATCTTTCACCCTTACTTATATGTCAAAACATAATTAATCAGTTTCATTGTTGTACTTGTGCTGCATGATATGCTTTTCCTCTGAGGAATGAAAAGGGGGTAGGGGGAACTGAAGGCCTTAACCAAGAAAGTTCTTTCAATTTCATTATTGTTGAATGTGTCAATATAGGTTTCACATAGCTTGTCTCTCTGTCTATTCTATATAAACTTCGTTAGAAGAGGAAGTATTAGTTGTCATTAGGTATCATTTTCGCATCTAATTGGTTATGGAATTTAATGTTTTGCAGGGACCTTTTGCCTTTTATAAGGGGTTCATACCAAATTTTGGACGGTTAGGATCTTGGAATGTGATAATGTTCTTGACTCTAGAACAGGTACAAGTTGAATAATTTGTGATAGCTTTCCATTTTACCTTTACATTTTATCACCTCCTATCTCAAGGAATTCTAGTTTATTTTCATGGCATAATCGTCTGTTGCGGTAGAGGTTAGAAAACCAAAACTTTGCAAAAAGTAATCTTTTGTATTTAATATCAAGATTGATAAAGGTTTGGAAAGCATCTTGCCAAACTATTTTCTGCTTCTCAAACATAAAACCCTTCTCCAAACTCACTTCTCAACCTTTTCTAAGGTCATATTTGGCTTCATATGTATCAAACCTCACACTTTCCTTGTCCTTTCCTCTAACTTCCATTATGTGTTAAATTTGACTTAGGCTTAGACATACATGTTATTTATGTTGTTAACAATGTTGCATATATTATAATGGTTAAGCATTAATCTGAAATATGCCACGATTATGTACTATACATACTACCTAGGTTTCATTTTGGAAAAAAAAGTTACATACTCCCAATATTAGGGAAATATAGTTAGTTGTATTTAACTGAGTTATCCTCTGATTACATTAACGATACTTTGACAAGGATAAAGATTAAAAATATAATTATTGTCTTTCATATTTTTAAACTGGTAGATAAAATGAAATATTGGATTTGTGATATTATGTTACAATTGGGGTAAATTTTTAGCATATGTTTTGATTTCTGAAAAAAAAAAAAGTTTTTCTAAATTTAATTTAAAACAGACATATTAAATCAAATTGTTATTGTGGATAAACTCGAGCACCATGATACGTGACTATGTGAGTGTGGATTGACTCTGTTCCTACAAATACCCTCACAAGTGCCATCTTGCTTTAATCTGTTAAATTAGGCCTGTGATTTTATCTCATTTGTATCTTTTGTTTCTCGTGTAACCTGTTAAATTGGGCCTGTGTTTTTGTATGTTTTGTTTCTCGTGACAGGCTAAAAAGTTCGTCAAAAGCTTAGAATCAGCTTGAGCTCAAACAGTTATCAGTAGAATTTTTTTAGGAGACTCTGCCCCCAACTGCAATGGAAATTCTCGAGAAAATAAAGCTTCTCTTCATTGTGTTAGTTGAAATGTATCAAAACATTTATTTTTTTTGAGGAAAAATGTAGTAATAATGAGAATAGCTTTGTGATCTCTCTGTAACTCGGATAAAATTTTATTATTAGTTGGGCTTGGGCATGGGGACTCCCTTTAAATTTGATGCGGTCCAAGCCCAACAGGTAGTGAAGCTGGAAAAAAATGTGTTAGAACATTTCAAGGAAGAAAAACATGTGTTAGAATAGATGACTTATTCAATTGGGTGAATAGAATACTTCTTGAAATCATTTTACCCTTTGGATTCTTTAAAACATTTTTCCAAAATTCACAATCTTCAATATGTTAAGTTATTGATCATAACATGAAAAGCAACACTTAGAAGATCTATTCTTTAAAGTTTCTCTTCAATGCATTTTTAATGACAAGAATAATGTGCAAGAATTTTTAAAAGTTCAAGGAAGAAAGAAACAACACTAAGATTTTTATACCGGTTACTGCCAACTTTAGAGAGCTGCATCCATCTTTAAGTTTAACAATTGATAAATCTATCGAGTTTTCTCCTCTAGAATCATAAAAATTCTTTACAAAAAATTTATTCAACCTGAAAAAAAAAAAAAAGAGAAATCCTTTCCCTAAATATTATCACTGTAGATACTAATTAATTTTACACCCATTAATAAATTTATCAATAAGGGCATTGCTTAAGTAAATAAATAATAAATCTATTTATACAATTTATATATTTTATAAGAATATTATAGATTATATATATATATATGTTCATTATTTTAAATAACATATATAAAAGTACGTACTTAATAATAAAGTCATGTTTCTTGACTCCATTCTGCCTTATCATTATTGAGGTCTCCATCTTTCAGGTGTTAGTTGACAAAGGATGAACTGGGTACTTAGTCAACTTGTCCAGAGACATTAAAGCCAAGACTTCAAATTTATCAGTAGGACACAACACATTATTCAATAATTACAAAACCACATAAAAATAATCATTGATGTAACTAGAGTTCTAACCCCTAGTTACATCAATGATTAAGCTAAACTAAGCATATCTATGCTAATATATACTTCTACTACCAATATACCAAACTCTAATGCATCACAAAGAAAACTACAAACCGAATGCAATAACTCATTTTTTATTCTACTATACACCCATTTTGTCTAACTCAAAATTTATGCCATAAAAACTTGACCTGTTATATATCTCCCAACTTGCACCAACAACAATTCATACATCAAGAGAAATTTTTTTTTTTTCTACAAAGTTGGAGAAAAAATCGAACGACAACAAAAATATACAAACACATAAATCCAATTCTTTTACATGAAACAAAATCAAATAAAAAAGTATTTCCTGCGAGTGAAGTTGAGTAAATTATTTGCCTTCTATAATTTTAGGGACTCTAGGAATAAGAATGGGAAGGGGAAGAAATAAGAGAGGGAAGAGTGGCAATTACTACAGTACCCTCAAAAGTCGAAGAAGAAAATAATTAATAAATATAAAATAAAAAATTATTAAAATTACAATATAAAAATTCAAAATTTAAAGTGAAAAGACAAAAATATACTTAAAAAATTATTAAAATTAAACTATTTAAAGATATAATAATATTATTACAAATAAAATAATTA